CCTGTTACGTTCAAATGTATTGGCTCTTCAGCTAACAGATTTGTGACAGCAAATCTAACTTGAAAGTTTGATGGAGGCGAGGATCTCATCGGCCGCGGCCTCAGTTATATTCCCAGGGTGATTGCTAAACACGCTATGTGCTCAGCAGATATCTGTTAAATGGCTGAAAGGTGTGGACTTGGAAATCCTTCTGGTCCACAGAGATTAGAGCTGTAATACAAACTGGGAACCCTCCTGTATCTCACTCATGCCACCCTATTAGGACAGAGCTATTTTCCTTGGTAAAAAAATCCAACAGTCCACTACTAACCTTCTCTAAGAAGGTTAAGTTCTGCAATTGGGTGTGATTTTTTCCAATTCCTTTTCAAAACATGAAACAGACCACCACTGCCAGTGCCTGACAATGTGCATCCCGTTCAGGCATCCACTAGCAAGTATTCACTAAGCCCAGGGACACGGCTGCTGGGAGAAAGAGGTATAGAGCCAGCTGCCTGGCCCCAGCACTGGGCCCAGCTCCTGAGGGCTCCAGGCCCAATCCAGACCATGGTTTCCCGACTGCACACCACCTGATTCCAAGGTGGCCAGAGGTTACACATAAAGGGCACACAACACAAGACCACTGGTTTAGCAGAAAACTGGGACCAAAACTCCAAAATACATGATAATGACACCTGGTACACCAAGGCCAGGAGAGGAAGTTCGTTCATTCTTAGTCTCCAGTGCTTAGCACAAAAGTATGCTCTCAAATCCTTGCCCAAAGGCAACAAAAACCGGAAGCAGAGATAACAAAACTTTGAGGTAGATGCCTAACAGAACCTTTTTTTGAGTTTAATTACGCAGTACATGAGTGATACTGAGATGATTTTAATGGGCCAAAAGTCTGCCTAGAGCAGTGATGGCGAACCTATGAACTCATTTTTTTGGTTGGTTTTTCTTTGTTAAATGGCATTTAAATATATAAAATAAATATCAAAAATATAAATCTTTGTTTTACTATGGTTGCAAATATCAAAAAAATTCTATATATGACACGGCACCAGAGTTAAGTTAAGGTTTTTCAAAATGCTGACACGCCAAGCTCAAAAGGTTCACCATCACTGGCCTAGAGTTTGAAGCAATACTAACAAAAGTCAGTTTCTCTATCCTCTTCCAATAGCAGGTCTCTTCTGGAAAAACTGGATTAATACAATAGCTAAGCCAAATAATAAAAGAAAGCACCCCCCCAAAAATTTAAAAATAAAATTATCATATGTCCAGCAATTTCACTTGTGGGGATATACCCAAAAGAATTGAAAGCAGAGATTCAGATATTTGCACATCAATGTTCATAGCCGCATTACCCACAATTGCCAAAAGTGAAAATCACCCATGTGTCCATCAACAGATAAGTGGATAAACAACATATACATAAAACGGAATAATATTCAGACTTACAAAGGAAATTTTAACATACTACAACATGAATAAACCTTGAAGACATTACACTGAGTGAAGCAAGCCAGTCATCAAAGGGCAATACTGTATGATTCCACACAAATGAAGTACTCAGAGTAGTCAAATTCATAATGACAAGAAGTAGAATTAGTGGGGTGATCACACTGTAAGGTATAAAAATATCGAATCATTATATTGTAACTACTAATTAAATACCACTGGTCTTTCAGATTAAAAAAAAATTTCAGCCCTAGCCAGTTTTCTCAGTGGTTAGAGTGCCAGCCTGTGAACCACAGTGTTCAATTCCTGGTCAAAGGCATGTACCTCGGTTGCAGGCTCGATCTCTGGCTCCAGTTGGAGCACATTCAAGGCAACCAGTCAATATGTCTCTCTCATATCAATGTCTCTCTCTCTCTCTCTCCCCCACCATCTCCTCTCTCTCTTCCACTATCTCTAAAAATCAACAGAAAAATATCCTTGGGTGAGGATTAAAAGAAAAAAAAATTCCTAAGACAGAAAGTAGAATGAGGTTGTCAGGGGCTGGGGGAGAGTGGCATGGAGAGTTATTGTTTAATGCAGTGGTCGCCAACCTTTCGGACCTCACGGACCCTCAGTGGTCTGCGGACCACAGTTGGCGACCGCTGGTTTAATGGGCACAGAGTTCAGAACACATGAAAAATGTTCTGTGGGTGATGGCTCTGATGGCTGCACAAGAATGTGAATGTAATTAATGCCACTTAACTATCCACTTAAAAATGGTTAAAATGATAAATTTTGTTATGTATATTTTATCTCAGTTAAAAATAAATTGTTTAAAGCACCTTATAAACTCCACAAGTTTAAACTCAGAAGCTAAAAAGCCCAACCCCTGAAGCTACTCATGTCATTGAACAACTTCAAAACGTTTCTCCAGGCCATCCATTAACTAACATAACCAAATGCATCAAAGGCAAGCTGCAATACATTCCGAGACCAGACACAAACAGCATTCTGCAATTAAAAATATAAGCCAAAGGGAAGACATTAAAACAATATACAAGAATTAACAGCCACAGTGCATAAAGCTAAGGGATCATCTCTGAAAGAATTTTTAAAATAAACAGGGCAGGAATAGAGGACAAGAGAGGACATAAGGTAACCACAGAAAAATGTTGGAAAATAAAGAACAATTCTCCTTGACTGTAAAAGTTGTGTTATAAAACCTTAAACAGTAGATATGAACCTGTTTATAACTAAATAAAAATCCAACTCAAGTTCAACCTAATTCAGATGCCAATTAGCCAAAGTGCATTGAGGGAAAGAGCTTAGGCCCTAGCCTAGCCGGTTTGGCTCAGTAATTAGAGCATCGGCCTGCAGACCGAAGGGTCCCAGATTTGATGCCAGTCAAGGGCATGTACCTCGGCTGCAGGCTTGACCCTCAGCCCTGGTGGGGGTGCATGTGGGAGGCAATCTATCAATGTGCCTCTCGCACATCGAAGTTTCTCTGTGTCTCTCCCTCTCCCTTCCACTCTCTCTAAAAATCAATAGAAAAATACCCTCAGGTGAGGATTTAAAAAAGAGAAAAGAACTGATTATTAAGATGAATGCTAATTCTTGGAATTGTACTAAGTCTTATTCTTCCAATATGGAAATACATTATCAAACTTTAACAATGCCTATAACCTCATATGGCCATTCACATTTTGGTTTGTGCAACTCTAGTGAATTTTCCAGTGTGGATTTCTAAATTTTCTGCTATGTTCTTACTATCTTCCTTCTCTCCCTGAGCTGCATCTTCTACTGTCTAAATTCCAACAACCCAAGGAAGGGCAATAAATAGAGCAGAGGTTATCTCCAAGTTCCAGCTAAGAGAAAAGTGCAGTGTAAAAAGAGCAAGAAGCATGGGTTTTCACTCTTCATTTCTCCACCAGCCCTCTCCAAAATTGTTAGATTATTACTATAAACTAATATATTGGCAGGTAGATAAGGTGAACGGGCAGTGGTCAAGAAAAGCACTGTAATTCACTTAAGAAAAAAACAAAGGCAAATTTATATACTTAAGAGAAAGCAGACATACTGCAATCAGGTAGAAATTATGTTATTCAGCATAAAACTGAGTAAAGAGAAGTGAACAAAATCTGTCATCAATGCCAGTAATTTTTCAAAGGATGGCCCGCACCAGCTTTGCCACACTCTGTATATGAAGTACCCTGTGATCCTTAACTCCTAGGCCACCAAGCCACTTTCTCATCATTACTTTGATTTCCTAGGTATTTCAAACTCAGGAAGAGAGAGCCCTGGAGAGGGGATACAAGTATCCCAACCACGGGGAGCTGTGCCTGACTGCCAGTGGAACTAGCGGCCGGTTCACAGGGCTCACAATGCGATTACCTATCAGACTCAAGGAGGAGCGAATCTGGACCAGCAAGCCTCAGGTCCAGACTGTTGCTGAGGTAGGCAAAGGCCCCGATTGGAACACAGCATTTCCAAACCTCATGTTAACATAGAGAAAAGCCGCATAGAAAAATAATCTTTCTTTTTAAAATGGTTAAAAATAATCTCCATAATTGAATGAATTGCATATTCCACTGGATCGAAGACACTGGTTGTAAAACGCAACATTTATATATGTATATGGAAAAAACTGTCAATTCAATTTGTCACAATGTTAAATAATCATTGATTTTAAGACATATTCTGATTTCAGCGATGTTAAAAATGTGAAAAAAAGGTTATCTTAGAATCGATGAAATACATTTAAAATGTATTCTTTAGATAATTATTCAAATAAAGTATTAAACACCGAGTCTCTTAAAATTGACATGTATTCATAGTCTGTAGCACATTCTTGAAGCTATCAATTTTGTTTCACTTCTCATTTGAAATGAAGAAAGGGGTGGCACTTGCATTAATTTCTAGCAGACATCTTACACAAACTTTAAAACGTAGGGATTCCTAGTTTGAAAGTCTTCTCAGTTTCACTTACAGAATCAGAGATCGAGAGATGAGATACATGAGGCCTAGGTAAGTTAAGCGACAGAGTCCAGGCCGTAGGGCTAGTGAGCAGCCGCCAAGGCTTGAAGCCAGATCTCTGGGGCCCAGTTCTGTGCTCTCTTCTCAGAATTCAGACATCCAATGAGGCATTAGCGTTCTTTGGCCCAACACTACAGATAGGCTAAAACAATAACAATCTCTGTCCATTTTCAAAGAGGCTATTTTATGAAACAACTCTCTTTAGCTTTCATGGTACGATACTGATGACTGATAATTTGTTCAACTAATCAATTCAACTAGATGGCTTCACTCTATGAAAACACCACCCAACTTCTCAAAAACAAATGCCTTCATTGCATGCTCTGAGAGGTGGAGACCATATAATATTACCTAATGAGCCACAGGCCAAACACTAGCCTGACAAGATCCTGCTGAGACCAGTGGTTCTTTACGGAAGACTCCGGGAATTACAGAACGTATCAAAACTTTGCAGCATTTGCTGCACACTGACACAGGCATTTTGATCCCCAAAGCATGTTGAAAATCTGCTCATGCTCTGCTCCAACTGGCCTCTTGAGAGAACTGGCAATTATTTAAGAAAGCCCGTAAATAATCCATCCTCTCTCTGTGTTAGTCCCTCTTGTCCTGGTTTCTTGCAAGGTGATTCACAGGGCACTTGCCAGTATTAAGTGGAGAGAACTCACACACTTATGCATTTGAGTGGAACTGATGGGAGACTTCTGCTGTGGACTCCGTCACAATATTTCCAGATGTCTCTATTACAGAATTCCTCATGGTATCATTCATTTCAATCACTTCAAAATCCATTTTGTTCCATCTTTCTGCATCATCTTCTTCATTCTCTTCCTCGTGGTCATTGAGCCCAGAGCTAGAGAGCAACGACTGCTGGTCCTCACTCTTTCTGTGTTCTTTTTGCTGACGAGTGAGAGGTGAGGTGGCTAATTTATACATCACAGGAAATAAAACAGCAGTGGCTACTGCTGACCCCAAAGAGGTATACAAAACAACAGGCAAATCGGGATATGTCCCTTGAAGAATCCCAATGACGGCAGGAATAGCCATTTCTCCCAGGGCAGCACCAACTACAAAAAACGCTGCCGCTTTCCCATGGATGGTCGTGTACTGCTCAATCCAAGAAACACGCTGGGAAACGTGGTTGCCATTGAGGCGCCATACACTGACGTCGCTATCCACAGACAAGTCGGGCTCTTGTCAAAAAGCACCAGAAATAATGACGACAGCAGGCTGCCAATGTTGCTCAACACAATCATGGTCCCAGGTTGTAAACATGTAGCAAAAAAGATTGCCAGGCCCCTGAAGGCTGCAAAGGTCCCCCAGAAGATGGAGTTCAACCCAGCCGCCTCACTTTCGGCCATGCCGGCATGAGTGGTTGCAAATGAGAAAACGTAAGAGCCATACGTCACTTCAGCTCCGACATAGAAAAAGAAAAACAGGAAAAGGAGGCAGAGGAGTGCGTTGTGATACTTAGCTCTTCGAGACCTCTGAGCAGATGCTTTTGCTTTTTCATGCTGTGAGCTTTTTTTGAAAAACAGAGCAAAAAGAAAGATAGACACTACAAATATGTAAGTAGCAATAACGGCATAAGCCCACAGGAGATTCATATTGTCAGGGACTCCGAACAGAGGTTCTGAGCCAGCTTCAGATGACAGGTTGAGGGCAGAATGGTTAAAGCCAGCCTCGGTGTGGTTCCCAGCAGACACCGTCGCGCCCAATGCCAATTTAGCCAGCAGTGGAGCCAAAAAGGCACCCACAGCAAAACTGAAGTGTAAGGCCTGCATATGTGGGGCTCCTTTGTCCCCCCAAATAGCCAAGATCAAGACGTTACCACCTACCAATGAAAGATGAGAAAAATTATTTAATCATAATAACTTAGTAAAAAAAAAAAAAAAAAGAACAGTTCATTACTATCAGAAAGGAGATGAGTCTACTTTACATGGCACAAGGATTATAATATTCTAAGTTATCAAATGTTGCAACTAAGTCAATTCCATGATGAAGGAACCCCAATCCGCCACCACCAGGGACCTCCAAGCACTGTAACATCGAAAACTCACAAATGGAATTCCACAAGCTGGTAAACCACTACCTCCTTGAACCAGGCACAGGCTCCCAAGGCCATTTATAATACAGTTCTAATGCCAGCCTGGGGGGTGGGAAGATATGCATATGTTTATTTATAACTATATATTATCATCAGATCATGACCAAATTACCAACTCCTTCTGTACTTGCAATTGACAGCCACTTGAGGAATATTACTTATGTATATAGCAGATGGAAAACACACGTTCAGAGACTTGAACACTAAGGATTCTGCTGTGCCCGTTGCAGGAAACAAGGGTATCGTACGTCTAGCACCTGCACGTACACTATCTATACACCTGGCAAGGTGAAAGGTCTTGAATTTTTTCTTTCTTTTAATATATTTGCAGATAAATTCCACCCTGTAATTTCACAACCAAACTAAGCCTAAAGTATAAAATATTTTCCTGACCTATCAAATAACAGTGGAGTGGGGGGGAGGGGGAGAAAGCTGGTTTTAGGGATGAACAAATGTCATGTACGTTATTTTGTAGGTTTTAAAACATATCAAGATACATGATACATGGAGAGGATCTCTTGCAGGAGGGCTGGGACTTTTGAGAGAAAAGGAAGAGAAGAAACATAATACATAGCACAGGTTTCTCTTAGTCTGAAAGGCAGAGTGCATTTTAAATTAAAGAGCTGCTTCTATGATTTCTCAGCGAAATAATGGTTCCAAACTTGTATTGACCCACCAATTCTTCCCATACTACAGTGATCCAGTTACATCCCAAAATGAAAACTTGCTCATCTGCACTGAGTTATCCACATGGGGAGTGGGGAACGAGTCCCTATTTGGATACTGTAAATCAATAATCTCTCACAGAACAACATTATTTAAATTCACTCTGTGGCTGGCTGCGCAAACATACTAGTAGGTACCCTATTTGACAGAAAGGGTACTTGCCAGAAGGGTAGTTCTGCCTAGGTGACCCCATAAGCAAGTCAGTAGGCCAGTGCCTGCAAGTGACAATTTAATATCATCGGCTCTGCTTGTTCTAGTACAAAGTCCTTAGTCCCAGAGATGACACGGAAAGGCTCACTGACCTGTATCCAGAATACCAATGGAAACACCAAAGACGGACATCATGACAATCAGTAATACCGCAGTCTTACAAAATGGAACAAGATAAAGACCGACTGTGGTAGCCAACATTGACAGCCCTAAGAAGAAAGGTAAAAGTCAGCTATGAGAAACAAGGTTCGTGCAGAGAGGCATGGATCAAGTCAGCACCTGAGAGGTTCAGCTTCTACAAACAGTTATTTCATTTAAAAGCTTTTAAATCTTTATGGACTATAAAAACTATTCGAACATGAATACATTTCTAGCACTGCTAATAATCAAACTATATACCACAAGGCAAAGTTTTAGAGCAAAACAGACAGCTCTAAAATTATTTATTTAAATATTTCATATTTAAGAACCTAAAGAGAATTTTAGATCTGAGGTTAAAAAAAAAAGATAAAAAATAAAATGCAATTACTATAGTAGGTTGCAGTAGAAATGATTAAATAAAGTTAGTTTGGGGACTAGGGAGGGAAATCAAAAGAAGTATATTCTTCCAACACATCTGGAAATCAGAGGATTATTTATTTATTCATCAACAATAGTAAATTATTTTCCTTTTCTCCAAAGCAGTTCTATCACATTAATCCAAACTTTCTGTGAGCACGTCAATTTATTTTAAAAAGAGTAAATTAAAAGCTTTGCCATCTATTTCAAGGGTGAGGCAGAGAGGTCTGGGGTCATCACTGGCATGGGGCAGCAGGGACAGAAATTTAGCTTATGTGATCTCACCACTCCCACCGCCCCCTCCATTCTCCGCCCCCGGGTTAGCTTGGGCAGGTTCAAGAAACTCATTTTGATCTATAGGGACCCCAGATCTGCCTTAAACTCTGACAAGCAGAGCTCTTTGGACCACTAGTATGTGACCCAGGGGTGGTGCCTAAATGACAGCGACAGTCGGGAAGGCCAAGGACGCTAACACACTCTAGGGCTGAGTCACCAGAGTGGCCCAGCACCGCTTCCCGAAACGGCAGGCAGCAGGGAAACCGGACTTCTGAGGATGCCTAACTACCCACTTCAGTTGTCAACCGCTCTGCAAGCTAGTACGTTTCAGATTTAAAAACAAATTATAAATTCCCTGAAAGTCATAAAGAAGGTAAAATCAGTTTACTTACCCAAAAGGAGAGAAGGATTCATACTGTCAAAAAGAACTCCACCAATCACAGAGCCACTCAAATATCCCGTCGCGCGGCCCACAAAGATCAGAGAAAGGCTGCTGATATTACGGTTTACATTTGCTGCCAAATCTTGAAACGTGGGACCCAGGATGGCGACACTCGATCCCTAAGATTTTAAAAGACAAAAGGTTTTCTTTACAACCATTAAAATAATGCCTATCTATGTGGTAGCTTTTTTTCACTAGTTTCAGTGTGCCAACTCCTACTGTTTTCCTAGTTTTAACAACTCCTAATTTTTAAAAAAATTCTTTAATTCTTTTGGCTTTTGCTACAATTGTTTCCTTTTTGGACAATACCATAAAAGACTGTTTTGTATTAACAGTTAGTAAAATGTAACATTAAGATAATTTTTGAAATAGTTTTGTATACTTTGAAACATACTACATGCACAAATAGCTGACACAGAATTTAGATGTTACAATTTTTAACTATTAAACCATCAAAATATTATTCCCCCTTTTTGATGTTGTTGAAATAGACAGTATGTGTAATCTAACAAGCAAACTGAACTATCAAGCAAAAGAGAGATAGATCCATAGAGAGAGAGCAGGCCGACAGCCCCAGGGGGATTGAGCAAAAAAAAAAAACAAAACAAAAACAAAAAAACACAGAAAAAGAAAGAACTAATGGACATGGACAACAGTGTAGTGATTGAGGGTGGGGGAGGGGGTGCGTGGAGGTGGAAGAAGATATAGGGAGATATATGGTGATGGAAAAAAATAAAGAGGAAAAAAATATTTACTAATATATTCCAGCTACAGGTTGGGACCTCTTGTGCTAACATTTCCAACCCAAACACCAGAAAGACAGTGGGAATGCAAAACCATCAGTCAAATGAAGCCCTTAGGTGAGGAGGAAGAAAGGAGAGGTGGGGGGTGGGGAACAGGCAGCAGTATTTCTGGATGCACATGGGGTGGGTCATTCCTTTGAATAACAGCAAATAAAACACGCAGGAGATAAACAATTTAAACATTTATAAATCTATGTTTTTCTTCAAATAAACCCCACACCATCAGGAGTACTATCTAGAACAGTGGTTCTCAACCTTGGCTGCACATTAGAATCACCTGGGAATCTTTTTAAAATCCTGATTTCTGGGCCTCCTCCTCCGGAAATTCTGTTTCTCTGTTATGGGGTGAGGCCACAACATTAGTAACAAAGAAACAGAATTTCCGGAGGATGAGGCCCAGAAATCAGGATTTTAAAAAGATTCCCAGGTGATTCTAATGTGCAGCCAAGGTTGAGAACCACTGATCTAGAGGGCTTTCTTTGAGAATATTACATACACGTGTATACAATTACTTGCAAAATAAAATTTTACTCCAAGACAGTGTAGTGTTAGCAAGAAATAAGGGTTACTGTTGGCTTTCAGAGGAAATTTGTTGAACACTTAAAAAATGTTTCTAATTGGTCTACATGTCAAGAATAATTTTTTGCAGCATTATTTACAATAGTCAAGATTTGTTAGCAGCCCAAGTGTCCATTAGTAGATGAGTGGATTAAAAAGAGCTGTGGTATTTACACAATGAAAAACTACTCAGCCATAAAAAAGAAGGAACTCTTACTCTTTGCAACAGCATGGGTGGACTTGGAGAGCATTATGCTAAGTGAAATAAGCCAGTCGGAGAAAGACAAGTACCTTGTGATTTCACTCATCTGTGGCATCCAATTAACAAAATGAAATAACAAGCAAAATACAAACAGACTCATAGAGACCAGACTGACAGCTGTGGGGGGAGACTGGGGGCAGAGGGATTGAGCAAAAAGGAGAAAAAGCTCCTGGACACACAACAGCGTGGTGATGGGGAGGGGAGAGGTGGAGGAGAGTACAGGGGTGAAATGGTGATGGAGACCTGACTCCGGGTGGTAAATACACAATACAGTGTACAGATGATGTGTTGTAAGAATTGTGCACCTGAAACAAATACTGTTAACCAATAACACCCCAATAAATTCAATCAAAAGGTGGGGGAGAACAATTTATTCTAATTGCACTGCTCTGCTCTAAACGCTGGGCTGCACCGCCTCCCTGCCCAGCGGGAGCAGCCCCTCGGGACAGGCACAGAGGACGCCCCAGGGAGGGCAGGCTGAGCCACCCGGCTGCCATCAGTTTCTGCCTTCAAAGCATTTACAACAGGATCTGGCACACAGTCCCGGCTCATCAAGCGGCTGCAATCATTTTTCTTTTTCTCAAATCAAAATATTCTAAGAATCAGTTATAGCTCAGAGAGAGATTTTGGTGACCAGACGCGACTCTCCCCAGAGGACACACCCTCCCAACTCCCCAGGGTCCCAACATTCAGACCAGTGACGAGGGGTAGGCTTCCCGAAATAAGGGAATGGCGGGGATGGGCAAAAGGAACTGCTAGCCTTGCAGCTTGCTCTAAGAAAAACACCGAAGAATCTGAAGGTCTGTTTGACATGGAATCGTGGATAAAATAAGAGATATGTTATTCCAGGCTCTCCCTCTTAACTAGCTGTGTCGTCGGCAAAAGTCACTTTCCCTCTCTGGCTGTATTTCCCCATCTGCAAAAATAAGGGTTTGGCTGAATTGGGTGAGAATAAGAGAAAGTCCCAGAAAAACAGTTTTTGTGTAATAATTTGAAAGGGTGGGTGGGGCAGCGACTATAGACCTGACAACCCCTCTTGTGTCTCCCCACCCCACGGAGGAGGGGTAGGAAGGTTTGCTGGAGCTGGAAAATCAATTTCACACTTGACAACAACCCTCCAAGAACAGAATTGTGCCCATTTTCCAGATTACAAAACTGAGGCTCGGGCACGTTAAGGCGCCAAGGTCACACAGTTTGCAAGCGGCGGAGGCGAGACCACATTCCCTGCAGGACGCCTGCTCATGCCCCGGCCCGGGAGGGTTCCAGCCCTGCTCTCACCAGCCCCAGGAAGGAAGCACACAGGATCCCGGTGATGAACCAGCGCAGCGTGCTCCCGGCCCCGCCGCTCCGCCGGGAGGCTGCCACCGCCTCCGGCGCATTCTCCCCCGGCGCCTCGGCCTGCAGGAGCCGCTGCCCGGCCGCCGGGGGCCCGGCCCCGCGGAGTTCCACTTCCAACTCCAGCTCGGCGGCTCGGGAGCAGCGGTCTTGCTGCTGCCCAGCTTCTCAGCGGGGCCTGGGCAATTCCTCGGGCCTCCAGATCCCGCCGTCGCTGGTGGCGCCACCTCCCCGGGGGCGGCCCCTTGTCAGGGCAGCCAAGTCCAACTTTGGACCCCGCAGGTGGCTGCGGGCTGCGGGCGCACCGCTCCTGCACGCGCGGCACCAGCGCGGATCACGTGGCGGAAATGTGCTCTCCTTCCCAGGCTGCGCCGCAAACCGGCTGTTGACGTGGTTGCCTAGGAGACCGGACGCCTACCTCAGCATAGCTGAGCCCACAGAGGCCCGCGGCTGGCGCCCCTGGCGGAGCGAGCTGGAGTTGCAGCCTGGGCCGGGCGAATCCTGAGGTGAATGACGAGGCGGCAATGGGTCCGAGGATTGCAAGGGAGGCCTTCCTGTCCGCTCGGGGCCTCTCCGAAGGCCTGTCCTTTAAACAATTCTCTAAAACCTCGCGCTTTCGAGACCTGTCGCTTATTGATCGCTTATCTGTCACTTAACATTTGTTGAAACTCACACGTAAGCGTTCCCGTGTATGGTCTCGTTTATCCCTCATCACCACAGTGTAAGTTCCATGTTATCCTCTGGTGCAGATGGGAGGATTAAGTCATAGAGAATTCAGCCGCTTGCCCAAGGTCAGGCAGCAGGTCAGTGGCTGCATGAACAGTGTAACAGTAGCTCCTCTTGCCCAATCCCTGCAAGTAAGTCCATTTACCCAGCGATCCTGCAAATCGGGGCATCGATTTGCAGGATCCCTGGGTAAAGTTATGCCGGCAGAGAAGGTGCGGTCTTTTGCTCTTTGACCAAACAGACCACAGCCTCAAAATGTGTGAATATTTTTCTTTATCGTCTATATGAAATGTCCTTTTGCACCTGATTCTCTCTCATCCACTTAGGCTCCCAGACTACACACCTGAGTCTCATTAGCATTTCCCTTGCAAACATCCCTCAGCGGCATCCACTAGGTCAGTAATTCCCTTCCCAATCTGCCTCAGAAAGTACAGATGCTATGACTTAAGGGAACCTGTTTTAGATTTCAGAGTCAGGAAAGGTCTCTGGGGAAAGTTTGATATGGCTGAAAAGAAAGGTATCTGTAACCTCATCACTAACAGCCCAGTCTATTAAAACCAACTCTCACGAAGATTTTATTGCAGTAAAGATAACGTTTATGTTTGTGCTATGTACTTTGAAAAGTTGGAAATATTTCTTAAAAGCTCTGACATCAGTGTGTTTTACATAATTAATTTTTTTTATTAAAAATAAAAATTTACTGATTTTTAAATCAACTTTTCTTTTAAAAAGGTAAACAGAATTTCCTTTAGCTGGACTCATTGTAACATTTAAGACTACCAGGACTCTGAACCTACCATCATAATGGTCTCCTGTGCTGTACTGATCAATAAAATCTTTGCTGTGCTGTACTATTATTAGCCAAAATCAATTCATCAAGAGAATAAAAACAAAGCAACCAAAAGCAAGAGTGGGGAAGGGAAGGAAAGAAGGGAAGGGACCAAGGTAGGTGCTCTCTAAGTGATTTGATCTTCCTCCAATTCTACATAGAGGAGGCCACTGATCCAGAGTTAGATACTGCTTTGCCCTGGAGCAAAGGAAAAGCTGGAAATTACAGACGGCTTTTAGCCATTCTTGTCTGACCATTGCCATCTACTAGTATTACCACACTTGATACTGCCTGCCTTCTTGGAAAATGTCCAAAACCTCCGCAGAAATCCTCATAATGGCAAGGACTGTTGTGTTGCTAAGCTAGGAACAAACATCAGTACCAGTATTTTTATTTTATTTTACTTTTTAAGCAAACTATATAAAAGCCTACCTTAATTCAGTTGTTAGTTTTTAAACACCTAGTATGTACCAGGCATTTTTCTAACAATGAAAAAATGAACACAAATTCCTTCCCTCATAGACAAGATAGACAAAGGACTAATGATGTCAGAGAGTGATAAGTACTCTAAAGAGGAATACAGCAGAATAAAGTAGATAGGGTAATAGAAGGGGGTATTTTAAGTTATGGTAGTGTTGGGAAAGGCTTCTTAACTATCTTGTGAGTCATGTTCTTGAACAATAACCTCGCTCAGCCTCACTTTCCAAATGCATGGGTTAAATTAGGTAATCTCTGAGGTTCCTTGCAATTCTGAGTTTGAGAAGAGCAGCAAACAAAACCATTCCTTACTCTCATTTTGCCCCAATAGTAAAAACAACTTGAAACAGGTTTAATACCAAGGAATACCGTTACTTCCTTCTCCCCAGATTGGGGTTACCCTTCAAAGTTTTTGTAGGTAATTATAAAAAAGGTTAGCATACGTGCTGCATTTTAATAATTCTTTAACAAAATTATTATATCCAAAACTAGGGTATAAAAAGTCACTGCAAAATTCCATTATAGACATCCAGGAAGGATTGAGAGGGAACCCTAGATCAGTGAAGGAAGATTTAGTCAAGTCCGAGGTAAACGAATTAAATTATTCAAAATTTGTTAAACAGTTGAGTCAGAAAAGGCTTGGGAATTTGCACAGAGAAGTTGAAATAGAGTAAATGAAGGGCAGAGAGAAAATTAAGCGTTTGTGTACACTCAAATCTCAAATCTCTCTTGAACTTCATCAGAGGGTCTGTGTACACAAATGCTTAATTTTCTCTCTGCCCTTCATTTCCTAGACCCTCTGATGAAGTTCAAGAGAGATTTGAGATTTGAGTCAGGATTGGGCAAGGATAAACTTTAAGAGGCCCTACACTGGGGACCCTGCAAAGTGGGTTAAAAAATAGTGAGTTTGATTACTTTGAGCGGAAAGTTCTCTCAGAGCAGTAAGTAACTCCGGAAAGGCATTTGGGGTTGTGAAGGACTGACTTTGAAAATCACACTGAAGACCACCTTTTGACTTTAGGAAGCTACCTCCCAACTATGTGGGCCCTCTTTCAGCCCTGGAGCAGCCATGCCAGCCAAGCTCGCCCACCCTGATCCTGATGCTGCTGACTCACTCCAGCTGCACTGGCTGAGTCCCTAGAGAAATGTTCCCCAGATGGAGCAAGTCCATATGCTAATGTTGACATATTTGGAAGCCATTCATTTAGTTAACAAATAATTATTGAGCACCTACTCCCTGCCAGGCACTTTTATAAATGTTGGAGATAAAACGATAGACCAAAAAACCCTACCCTTGTATAGCTTAGTCTAATGAGGAAGCCAGGCAATAAACAAGATAAATAAAATATATAGTATGCTATTGAGTAACTGCTAGCAAAGGAGAAAAATAAATTAGGTTGGGAAGGGAGAGATGAAGTGTTGGGGGGAGGGTTACAGTTTAAACTTTTTTTAAAATTTTTTTTTATTGCTTAAAGTATTTCAAAGAGTATTACATATGTCTCCTCCCCCCGCCCCCTCTTGACATTCTACAGTTTAAATTTTAAATGGTTAGGGAAGGGCTCACAGAGAGACTTTTGAGTAAAGCCCTGAAGGATTTGACAGTGATCCAAGTGGAGAGCTGGGGCAAGAGCAGCCCAGGCCAGGGTAGCAATGCAAGGACAGAAGTGGAAGGAGGCGGACTGGGTCAGGAGGACAGAGCAGGAGCTACAGTCAGAGACATAACAGATGCCAGGAAGTGAAGTTTGCTGGTCATGGCAAGGACTCTTTTTGAGAGAGATAAATAGGGAGCACAGGATTCTAAGCCGAGGGCTGATGACACGCTTTTCCAGGATCCTGCTGGCTGTTCTGTAGAGAAGAGATGGAAGGTACACAAGGGAAGAGAACAAAAAGCGAAAGACATCGAGATGGCTTGCAGCCATCAGACGGGTGAGAAGTGGGAGGGGAGAGTCTGACATAATTTGGAAGTAGAGTCAGTAGGGGTTCCTGGCAGACTAGAAGTCGGTGTGAGAGAAGGAGGGGGGTTAAGGTTTTGGTCTAACCAGCAAACTGACGTTGCCATTAACTGAAATGAGGAGAGCTGCAAAAGAGGCAGATTTCGGGGGGACTATCAGGAGCTCAGTTTTAGATGTTAAGCTGAGAGATTCTTTTTGGTCATCTAATTCGAGGTGTTAGGTTGACAGGTATAGAGGTCTGGAGTTAAGTACAGTGGGACCTTGACTTACGAGTTTAATTCATTCCGAGACTGAGCTCGTTAAGGAGCTCATTAACTCAAATTACTCTATCAACTCAATGCAAAAAATCGGCCGAGAGACAGCTGGTATCTCAAAAAACTCGTTAGTCGGGACACTCATAAGTCAAGGCCCCACTGTATGTATCAGTTGGGAGATGAGCAGGACCCAGCAAAGCAGACTGAGAAGGAGTGGCTAGGAAGAGTGGAGGAAAATCAGGTAGGTGTGCTATACTGCAAGCCTGACTCAGAGATCAGGACTGATTCACTGCACCACATGAAATGAAGATTGAAAAGTGAATATTGACTCATACTACTTAACAAAAGGAAGATAAACAATCCAATCAAAAAATGGGCAAAGGACCTAAATAGACACCTTTCAAGAGAGGCCAAGAGACATATGAAAACATGCTCAAAGTCACTAATCATCAAAGAGATGCAACAAAACAATGAGGTACCATCTCACACCTGTCAGAAAGGTTATCATCAACAAATCAACAAACGACAAGTACTGGAGAGGACGCAGAGAAAAAGGAACCCTCAGTGCACTGCTGGTGGGAATGCAGTCTGGTGCAGCCACTGTGGAGAACAGTATGGAGTTTCCTCAAAAAATTAAAAATGGAACTCCCATTTGACCCAGTGATCCCACTTCTAGGACTATATCCCAAGGAGTCAGAAATACCAACCAGAAAGGATATATGCACCCATATGTTCATAGCAGCACAATTTACCATAGCTAAGATTTGGAAACAGCCTAAGTACCCATCAGCAGATGAATGGATTGGAAAACTGTGGTACATCTACACAATGGAATACTACTCTGTGGTAAAAAATAAGGAATTCTTACCATTTGCAACAGCATGGATGGACCTGGAGAGCATCATACTAAGTGAAATAAGCCAGCT